TCGAATCTTTTTACCTACTACTCCTACTACTTATCCTTACCTAATAAGCACAACAACTCAAAAATTACTCGAACCAATTACTCGAAAGTCGAAACTTAAGTGATTGGACGCTAAATAACGGCTGATTAAAACTCTACCCTTATTAAGATTAATAATCTTATATTGAATAATAGTATATTTTTAATGCTCAATAATTTTTTCATGCTTAATTTCTTGTTTTTGTTTAAAGGTAAGCAAACAAGCATCAACCAAATCATTAAAACTTTTATCAAATATTGCTACTATTAATATTGTTACTTTCAACAGGTTACTTCATAAAAGTTACTTTTCAACATTCCATTTAATTTCCGACGGCTTCAATAATATTAATTCAAATATTAATATTAATTAAATTCGTCTGGCACTTAAAATAGAAGATGTTTATGCTAATATTGAAAACTAAGTATTGAAGTGAGAAATATAATTGTCTTAACTGTCAAAGAAGAGTTTCTTGGTGTAGAAATGAACACTAATAATTCCTGACTTTAAAAAAAGAGTTGCTCAAAAATAAGTTATTGAAAAATAATAAAAAACAAGGCGCAACAATTATAGATGAATAATTAGTACAAAAAATGTATAATTACTTAGTGTAATGGTATAGTATATTCAACATGTTAAAAATACAGTGATTTTTTTATTTCATGTAGTTTTTCCTAGATGGCGCTAATAATAGTAGAAAATAGTTCACAATTCAAGTTGAATTACTTTATATTGGTAAAAATCATAAAAAAATTAGAAATATTTCACAATGAATGTTAGTTTTATCTAACTCAATTCAAACATTTATAAAATATTCATGTAGTAGCAAATTTTTTTGAATGGAAAAAATTAATAAAATTACAATACCTATCTTAACTTGTTGGCTTCAAACTATGACTACATAGAGTGTTCTTTAACATATAATATATAAATATACCTATACATATCTACTCTTCATGAAAGTCTAGTTTTAATTATGCAGTGATCGAACAATAAATAAACAAGTGAGCTATCTAAATGGGTATTAAAGATAATATGTTGCATATTCCTTTCAAATTATTTTCATTATAGATCGTGTAATATATCACGTTAGACAAATCGTTTCAAAACTTCGTCTGTTTTTTTTTGTAACAACGAAACATAAATCAGAATAAACACAAACCTCAACGTATTTTTACCTTCAGTTCTCAATCACATATTTTCCGAAAGGTGTTTTCTTTCAGAACTGTTTTTGCTTGTTTTATACGCTTTGGTTTTATATTGTTTACGTTTTTTAATGGGAAACTGGTACTTTTATAACCAGCGGTGCACGAATACTGTTCGTGTATTTTGTACACTACTGTAAAACGTCCAAAAAAGAATCGGTTTTGAATTTCATACAGCCCGATCCTTGTGCACCTTAATTTGTTTGCAAATACTCAGCTTTTATATGGTACCTTTGAATATTTTTTAAAATTCTGTTTTAATTTAAATTCAGAAGCTTTGTTTAAATCCTTAAATCAGCTAAGTATTGTATATGTGAGAATCAGAACCCTGTTATTAATATTCATTATCTTTTCAATCTTTCCCTAAGCCATGTTAAGTTTCTTCATCGTCTTCATCACAGGCACGTTGGCTCTATAAAACTAACAGTGAATCTTTCAAAGTTATAAAACTTTAATGTTTAAGTATTAATCGAGCAGAAAATTTACATATCTTTTGTTTTTTTACATCCTCAAGGATATTAAAGTGCTCGCATAATATCTCATATTAAATTTCTATTAAGAACAATTAGATTTTTTAAAGTATTTCATATTATACGTCTCTGTAAAACACATCAATCAAAACTGCACACTTGCAAGAAGACGGCTAGTAAATTTAGCCTGGAAATGAGAAATACAAAGATGGAAATTTGCCTATTACGAATAAGAATTGACGAATATTTGACTTCAATATCCCGAACGGTCCTCAAATTTATTACCTCAAGTGCAAATTTAATCTTAATAACAATTTTTTATGTGATAAATCAGTTTTACCGCCTTCGTAGGAGTATAATTTAAAATAACAAGGTTTGTTGTCTACCAATATTTTTCCAATAACTGTATCATATGTTTTAGTGTATATTTCTCTTGTGATTTTTATGGTAGTTGATAAAGTAATAACGTAAGAATTTATTAATTAAAATTTTACAGCATCGTTCCACTGAAATTTTGTTGCAACCACATTGGCATATCAATCTTGGACGTTCACGTATGTCTTGATCGTAGTCCAATTTATGATCCAATTAGGACAGTAACATTGTTGCTTAGACATCGTTTAACTTAGTAAGCCATTCACATCGCTAGATTACTTCCGAGTTTGAAAGCGTATCACTTACAAAGCACATACTCGTATGTAGTAAGAACAGAAGTGTTCTGCACATATGTAGTAACTTGCTGAGTTATGTTTTAATTTATTTCGAATTTCTATTACCTTTAACACTGTAGTCTAGTTTTGCGAAATTGAAAAATATTTTAAAGTAATGAAATTTCGTCAAAATCGGTCTAGCCGTTTCGGAGGAGTTCTCTGTCTAACACCGCGACACGAGAATTTTATATAAAAGATTAATGTATAAATAGGAGTGTTATACTTTTATTTCCCTCTATATAATATTTAGTTCATCTACGAAGCCACGGTTTATACTTTTTTTAATTCTCCAGAATAACAAGGTTTAATAACAGATTTCAATTTATGAGGGTTACAGGCATCATTAAGTTTGAGCGCACTTAAACATCGGGTCAGTCAATTAAAAAGAAAAAGGGATTTAACCTATTAAAAAAATAACGACGCCCTGTCTGAAAAATGAAGCCTGGCCAAGCCAATAGGCTACAACAATCTATATACAATATTTCCAAAATCCTATAATCTAAATATTAATTGAATCATATCCTTAATCCTTAATTAATTTAAACTATCATTAATTATATATCATTCATCTAGCAAACATATATATTTAGCTCTCCTCTTTATCATAAGTGACCACCTCTTGGATAGTTGAGCAAAAACTTCAAATACAAAAGCGAAAATGTACCTAAAATGCAAGAAGCTAAAAAATCGAAAGATCTGAATTGTAAATTTTTTAATACAAAAAAACCTTAAAAATATATAGATAACCTTAGATATCATGAGTTAATTTTAAGGTTTTTTTATATCCTAAAACAATACTCGTTTAGTTACGTACATAGGTTCGTCAATCTTCAAAGAATAGGCCTATCTTTAGTTCCATTATGAGGACATTAAAGATCCCACAGATAAATTTACTGTCGCCTCCTCTAACATCTATCTTACTAAAATGTCCATACTAACATTAATCTATGAAAATATTAAAATTAAAACGTCCAAACCTTATGATACTTTATCATTCCTTACAGGATATTATAGAATTAGTGTCATTGATACTGGATATTTTATTTCGCATTTCGCTGGTTTAAGAAAATTTCCTTACCTGAGAATATTCTTAAAAGACTGATCGTAATAAACCGCTATTTTTTTAAGCGTCAAACTCAATTAAGCTAAAACCCATTTTGTCTACGTCGAGACACTCAGTGATTATGTTAAGGTAAGCCGTGTCAGGAAAAAATATTTTTGCCTCTAATTGGCCTACGTCTTTGTCTCAGTATTATAATATTATTAAGAAAATTCTTTATACGGTAATGAATTTTCAGTTTAAACTTTATATCAATTCACTTGTTTATATTTAAGATATTTCTTGAATAAGTTAATAGATCTACACAAATAGCACAATTCAAATAGGATTCCTATTATAACTCCATATTCCATTTAACCATATCTCTCCTTTAGTAATAAAAGCAGCCAGCCATTTTGTATCCTTAATATTATACCATATTCTTCATAACATTCATTGACAATAAATTGACTGGGAAACCACAATGTCACGTATTGAATTCATCCGTCGCGACCTTTTCGGTCTCAATAGAAGTTTTTGTTGGGTTTCTATGTGAAGTAATAATTATCTATTGTGAATCATATTATTTAATTACAAATTCATTAATATATATGATGAAATTATTTTCCTACTATATTAAACAAGCAAATTCTTTGGCGCTATTGAAATTTACCGTCCAAGTTTTCTGAGTTAGGAAAGACATTATCTACATTTGTTTACACGTCGACTCCTAAATAGCACAATGTCCACTTTCATAGGACGCTGTTTCCTTTGTTTACAAAGAACTATGGCTTTATAATAGGGGTATTTTTATTTTGTTTACTTTTAAGAGAACAATGTCTACTTTTAGAGGACTATGTTTACTTTAACTACTTTAAATAGTGATATGTCTACTTGCTTTGGAATAATAATAATAATTTGGAATACTTTATCAACTTAAAGTAAGAGAACATCTAGTTAAATCTCTACATTCATATCAACTTCCACTCGAATTTGGGACGTTATTTTATAAGTTACTAGCTTTCCGCCCGCAGCTTCGCCGCGTGGAGTTCGGTTATATCGCGTTTCCAAGAGAACCTTTCAAAAGTCTGGGATAAAAACTATCCTATGTTCTTTCTCAAGGTCAACTCTATCTCTGTACCGAATTTCATTAAAATCAGTTCAGTGGTTTAGGCGTGAAAGCGTAGCAGACAGACAGACAGACAGACAGACAGACAGAGTTACTTTCGCATTTATAATATTAGTAGGGATAAAGTCATATTCGAAAACAAACACATGATTTACTTTAACGATATTGTCAGATCCAGGTGTTGTTTTCTTCGGCAGTTGCTTAAATTATATATTTATTTATATACATATGAATATCGACATAAAACTATTTCAATCACAATCATGCAATGTAGTTATATATTTATAATATTGTACAATATAGTTTTTCGTCATAGCGAACGAATTAGGGCGGGACAAATAAGATTACATTTATACAAATGTTCACCTGTATATCTATTTATAATGTGTATTATTAGTTTATTACGATGTCTTGACTAAGTTGTATATCTTACCTGCGATAAGACTGTGGGGCTACTGGCCAACTCCTCCTGGACCTAAGTACAAGAGCGATACGTGGCATGGAACCCTGAGTGTTGCCCATTTGTGGTGCAGAAGTACGTTTGCGGCTCCATCCTCGTCGGCCACTGTTAGAGCCCCAAAGATGAGCTGTGCTGTGTTCTGAAAAGACAATGATGAGAGTAGAATAGAATTTTTTCACATTTTGTAAAAGAAGTTCGTTCTTTCATTTTGAAAATGATTGTTGAAGTTACATTTTTTTCTACTTATGAAAACCTTATACACGATAACTTCTATAATTGTGAGACTATCATAGAACCATCAATTACAAGCTCTAAAACAATATCCCAATTAGAATCGTCTTATTATGAAGAAAAAAAGATATGCCATAATAAAATACCAAAATTATGTCACTTTCTTTAAAAACCTTTTAAAACAGTTATGTGAGATAGTACTATGACTTTTTGTATAAAAATAAGCTTTTATACTACTCAAGCTGTTCTAAACAAGTCGCGATAGTAGAAACACTTAGTAAATATTACTTTGAAGAGTGATGTAGATCTGACACCACAACTGCTGATTTTTGATATTGGAAAGTAGTAAATCATGTATTTTGCTGTCAAAACTATTTCGTTTATATATTTGTAGTTTTGGTAGTGCTACGAATATTTTATTAAACTTCAAAATGTTTCCTGTAACTTTTATAACCTTCTATAGGATCAACTCTATGAAAATAGAGAAAAAAATCTCAGTGCATTTAAATAACATTTTTAATTTTGCGTTGCTATACTTGTCAATATATTTTGTTAATTCCGTATTACGACGAAAAGATAAGAAACGAGAGAAATAGAAACAAACTTTTTTGTTGATGACGCAGGGAATAGTTTTGGTAGAGCTAGCAATATTTTGTTTCCCTTTGAAAAGTTTTCCTATAACTTTTATATCTTTCTTTAAAATAATCTCTGTGTAAATAAAGAAAAAGTCTCTGCGCATATTAAGACCATTTTTAATTCTACTTGGTGTTTCTATTTATTTATAGTTATATTCCGTATTTATAGTTATATTTCGTATCACTATTTTTTTTATTTCATGAAGTTTTTTATTTAACTTAATGCACATAAATAAAGGACGACGAAAAGAGAAGAGGCATGAGGAATAGAAACAAACCTATTATTATACTCGGAGTTACATTTCATACGAAATCATCTCCATATGACATTTGAATTATACTTTTAGTATGTAACACTATGGATGAAATATAAATAACTTATTTAATACTGCTTGTTTTCGAAATAAGCTACAAGTGTAAAAAATTTATTGCACAATACCTCATATTATGTCATTCTATAATTAATATCATCTATTGCATGTTGGATGAAAATGTAAATCAGGATTACAAGCATTAGGTATATGAAGTAGAAAAGCTTTTAGCACGAACTCCAGCTAAAAGTAGATTTGAAAGCTTTTAAATTGAAACCGTGTAAATTTAAACTGATATTAGTTCATTTTGTTCATTCGCAGTGAACTGTAAGTACGAAAATAAACACTTTCGTTGTTTTTTTTTTGTTTGTTTTAATTTTGACATACATAAAACTCGTGAAGTGTGATAAATGTCTAAACGCACGTTAAAATTAAATCGCTTGTAAATTTTTAGTTACGTGTTGTGAGCCACTGAAAGTTTTGGTCAATTTGTACACGATGAAATAAATTTTAAAAACAAAAAAATTGCAACTCATTTACCTCAAAAATTCAAGTATAATAATATATAAAAAAGGTTTAAGGTAGAAAGACAAAATTTTTTAAACATTGATCTTTATTATGACACTTTGATCGGCTTTTTGTATGCAAATTTTCGTAACTCGCAGCTTAAAGAGTTTTATATGGAGTTTACGATTTCGTTTAGCATATTTTAAATCAGATACATAATAAGTTTAAGGATTAAAGGGGGATCGAAAATTTGTTAAGTGATTTTTAGCGCTCTGAGAAAAATATATTAGAAAAAATGTGAAGTTTATTTGTTAAATGTGTAATCTTATGTATGAAATATATCAAAAAAAGTACACATATGTATGTATATAATAAATGTCAAAATTTCGACACGCGAAAATACGCTTTCTATTTTGGAAAAGTGTAAAAATGGTAATTTAGAATGCTACAAAACATGCAGTGTCATAATTCAAGGGGCTTCAAACGAGCCTGAAAATTACAGACCAAAGTTAAAAGGCGTTTCAAATTTGAAAGTTTATTATTTCAAACAATTCTGTGTTTAAAAAATGTTTGTCAATTCACAGAAATAAATAGTTTAAAATAGTTTGTAATTTTTATCTAAAAACAGTTACAAATATTACTATCATTAATAAATGTACATACGTGATAAGTTGTTTATATGCGTTTGAGCGTCAATCATGTCAATCACGAACGTCAATCACTGTTTACGAATGAAAACAATAATCAAAACCTTGACTTTCTTCACTCTCTTATAAAAAAAAAAATATTGCAGTACTATTATATATACCTCTATCTTGTATTAACTTAGAGAACTCTATTAAGTCAAATGACTCTAAGACATTGTTTTATTTAATATCCAGCTGCAATTTGTTCGTGTCAGAATATCTGCAGGAGCTAACTATTAGGGTAGTTGCTGACCTACCCCAAATAATTATAAACGACTTTTTTACAAAATCATTATAACGCATTACATAGAAATATCAAACTTATCTTATCATAACCACTAAAAAGAATTATTTATAATTCTTAATAAAGAAAAATAAAAAATAGGTAAGTTTTCCTGCGAATACATTACAGAAGCTCCGAATTAAATTTGAATTATTTTAAAAATATTTTCAAAAACAATGGCATTCCGAGTTACAAAACGACAAGGCAAGACAAAGTCGACATTATCGTTTTCTGTTGTTGTAAATAATTATTTAGCTCTCTGTGCACCGTTTTATCTCAAGTTAATGTACTAAAAGGTAAATTAATTTATCTATCAAGACCAGTCAAATACACTACTGTAATTAATTTGTTAATTGTATTAGTGTATTCATAACAGAAATCGTGTCCCCCGTGGCGTTAGTTTAACAGAGTCTATGGCTTCAAACACAAAAGATAAGATAAAAAATATAGTAATAAACGTTGTTTATAATTAAATTTCATGCAAATTTTCATATATCAAAACAATTTTACAATTTTAGATACGTATCATTTTTACACATGAAATAGCAATAACAAATATTTCACAATTGAAATAATATGTATTTTTATTTACTGTAGTGGAATTTAACGCGGTATGCAATTTAGATTTGAATACAACACACCAATAATTGAGATATTCATAAAAACTTTGATGATTAAAATACAGTTCACGTTTTAAAATATATAATATAATGAATTTTCTTAAATCATTCCTTTTTCCAATTATATTAAAATAAGATTATAAAACTTAAAACTAAACCAGTCTAGTAATTCATATATTCTTTTTTCCATAACTACGTGGCCTAGAAAGATATCTTACTGATTCTCCTATGCAGGTGTTAAAGCACGTTAAGCAGTCTAAGTTATTATTATTTAAATCTTCTTGAAACTTGTGGAGTTGATAACATATACATAAATATGAAACTCAAACATGAATAAAGTGATTTTAACTTAAAAACATGGCAGTAAATTTCTACTTTAAACTTTCTCACTTATCATACCGTCTCACACATTTATTGAAATCGTTGATTCTTTATAATAATAAAATCAATTTTAGTTTAAAAATTATTAAAAATGTTAGTTTTTTGCCACTAATATTCTATTGTCACTGTTTTTAGTCCGAAATATCTTGCACAGACGAATGAAGTGAGTGGTTTTACTATCGTATTTTACATACAATGGAGACAAACAGGCTTACGGCCATCCCATCTGGGAATAAGCGGTCACCAAAGCTTATGGACGCCTGCAGTACCAGAGGTATGATTTGCCCGTTGCAAACTTTTCCACTACCTATTCACTCCTCTTGGAGTATAGTCTCCATACTATAGTCTCATAGGAAAACCTGAGTAGTTTATTGTATAGTTCAAGGTTCACAGCAGAAAAATTTGGATCCAAGGCAGACTGTTGGACTCCCTGTCGGTAATGTAGTGCGATAATAAAATGATTATGCAGGCCATAGCCAACATACAAGGAGCCAAGATCATGCATCATGTGCATTTGAACATTATAAAATTTCACAGCTAGAATTGTACAAGAACCCACATACTCATATTTCCACAATAGCCTTTTCTGCCCATAGGTACTACTAAGTTTGAAAGTATTACATACCCCTCGCTTCAGTGACAGCGACTGAGCAAGGTTTAGGTTTTTTTTATATGAAGCAAAGCTGCTACTATGGGTACGTTGCGTAAAATTCACATACTTCATCATGACTGATCATCAAGCTCACATTTCTCGTCTTCACTTACCAAAGGGTGTGTTGTAATTAAAGCAGGTCCCTCATCTGCCGGAACACAAGAACCATAGCTGGAATATTATGGACACATCACTCGCCACAGGAACATGATACTACATGAAAGTATCATTTGACTGTATTTTACTGTAAGGCGCAAGTAAAGCCCTAGTCGGGCTACTCCACCTCAAGCAAGAAGAATACCCCTATACCCTATCTATATCAAATCTAATGGATGAAGAAAACTGATACGACAATCTATTTTCAAAAGCAGATGTTATAAAAATAAAGAAACTATGTTTTTCAAGTAAAAGAAAATTAGTCGATAAATTACTATGATGACGAGGCTTCGATCTACATACACTCATAATCTTGTTTATACTCCACTAATCCGTTAAAACTAAAGCGAATTTTTAATTTCTGTTCGTAGTGGGCTTCATGTGTTATGTATTTTCTAAGAGGATAAATTTTAGAAACCATATTTGAACCCAAATCTTTGAGGACAATACGAATAACACAAAATCTATACGACGATGTAGGTATAATTTTCTTAAATACGGATAGACATTTAAAATGACGATACTAAATAGGTCACTTTTATATAAATGTAAAAAAAAAAAATTGTTGATTTTAAATCATTTTTTGTGTATTTCGACCATCTTTAGAACTACATTAGTTAAATGGTTATATACTTTTTCACTCATTCTAGGGTACAAGTACTTGCACTTACGAAGCCAGCTTCCATCGACCCTTTTCAATCACACACGCTTCTAACACTATTATCGACTCTAATCAATGTTACTTATTTCACCGATCTAAATAAAAACATTCTTTTATTTTTTATACAAATTATTTTGAATCAATACTTAAGTTTAAGATTTGGAGAAGAAAGAGGCTAGAAAAATTAAAGCGCAAAGCCTTATTATGTATTATACTATGTTGTACATAGGACGTATTTTATTTTTCTAAAATCGTTTTTTTATGTTAAAATCATATTACCTATGAGTATATGTACGCATTCATGCAAAAATGTATTCTTACTCTTAATTATATGTTTGCAATTTCATACAATACCAAAACAAACTTTCATTGGCGTTAAAATACTAACAGAAACATTCTAAAGAAATTCAATTAGATGAAGAAATAAGAGAACGTCATCATTTTAATTAAAATTTAATGATGTAGACTAGATCACGATCTCATATTTTTTGATCCTCACCCGTGATTTCTAATTAACTGAAAGATAGAATTCTTGTTACAATTTATACTTTAAATTGGTTTTAAAAGAGATTTTCATGTTATCTAAAAAGAAAATTGTATATGTTTTATATTAAACATAATCTAACACCACAAACTAGAATGACCATACTGATAATATAAAAGTAATTATATTAATAATATGCTTACGTAAATAAGCTGCTTGCGGACCCTGTTCTGAGCAAGCTCTTCTGCCCCGAGCACTCAGCAGGACCTCTCGACGCGGTCGCTCAATCATCTCACCAGCGTTCGCTGACTCCACACCGCCCCCCTCGTCTCTACCCTCTTCAAGCAAGCAAGCTGACATCCCTAGTATCACCACTATAGCGTGTAATTACTTGTCACAAATATTTAACTACTCTCGTCAATGGTCACTCGTTAGAATAAACATACAGTTTCTTTAAGTCGTTTCCAATCAATGTAGGGATGATAATTTGATGTCTGGATGATTTTCAACATACAATAAACCTGGAACAAAATTATGTTACATTATTTACTGGTTTTAATGAGAATAATTGTTTTTTTAAGTTTAAATATCAGTTTTTTTATACACAAAGACAATTTTATGCGCCATTAAAGTTAGTTTTGAATTAAAACTGTAATGTACTCTTGTCCCATAAGTGTCGTTTGTTGACTTAACCTAGCATAGTAAATATTTTCATACAAACCCTTGGACGCGATATCGATCGCGTAACAACGTTGAACTAAAAGTCCATTACTATAATAAAATTATCCCAAAAGCAAAACGATTTTTCACACAATATGTCAATCGCAATAAAATTTCCAGCTACAATCATAAAACAAAGCTCGCTGAATTTATAAAAATACGAAATGTTTACTCCAAACTGCTAGTGGTACAAGCAATTTTTCCATGAGATTAACAACAAAATGAATTGAAATGGATAAAAACGAACATGTAAAAATTATAAATACTTTTGTAGCAACTATTTTTTGTATAAACAGAAGTAAACACATTTACATCAATATTACTAAAACTCAAAATACTTATGGGATTATTGGTTCTTGTTGTGCCTAATTGGGTGTTCTTAAGAATAAAATTATGTACCTGAGAAAAGTTTAACATTCGTAATAAATAAACTACGAAGGCATATAGGTATAATGGCCTAAAGTTTACAATCAATATTTCTTTTACACAGAAAACATGTTGATCTTGTTATAACAATACGTCTCAACTAAATTGTGAAATCCTACTAAGCGAAAATGGACACAATATATCTCTCTAACAAATATGAATGGATACATATTGCGGCAATAGTTTTTCTCGTAATACCTTCTCACACAAGTTTCCTCGGAGATAATTATAATTAATTTAGCACGTCCAAGACGACCTCCTCGATAAATTTATATAAAACAACTTTATGATTTTACATATCTAATATATTTGTAATAATCCTGTATATTTATTTCTTTAATGATATCTTAATGACAATCTTAACAGTTATATTATTTTTAAAGTAAAAATCAAATACGTGTAAAACCGAGACAAATTTTTATAACGCTAAAAATATTCTTATTTTCTTACGTAATCATTTAACGACAGACTGCTATGAAATTAATTTCCTCATGACATAGGGCTTTCCCATAAGCTTGTAATTTAAATACACTTGTTATATTGTTTCACATCAATAAATAAACAATTCATACATTAACCTGATTTTTATATTTTTAACCATTATTGATTGTAAATGTTATCATAAAATTAAGACTATTACGCAAAAAAGAGCTCTGAAATACTCTCTATGCGTTAATAGTACTCCACAAGTTAAGCTCGGTTTTACAAGGAAATGAAGTCGACCACAAACGACCCTCATGTAAGTCGTTTGAAGGTTACGCATAAAGATATATCATTTTCGGTTTTGCAATAACAGTTCATGTAACCTTTGATTAGAAACTGAAAGTAAGAATACATTTAATTTTCAAATCTATATTTTAAAGTTAATTTACTAAAGTCATCCAAGTTTTATAGCGTCTGAAAATAATACAGTGTTTCGTTTATTCGTAACAGTTGTTTCAAGTAACACTATACCAGATTGATAATGATTTATTACGTATACGTCCGTTATTACGCATAATAAACTTTCTTTCTGCTATACTTGGGTTAACGCACGGTTAAAATAATCTTGTTCGCCAATACACTCCTAAAAACACATTTTCATTTAATCTTTAAACAATTATTTAAGCGTTAGATTTTCATTTTTGTCTCATTGTTATCACAGACTGCTCCGTGTTTCAAGGAATTTGTTGCTCTAAAATCTAAATGAATCTTCATTGATCTCGGTTTTTATCTGACTCATTTACTGTAAAAGATCGTTGGATCTGGAATGATTTGCCTGAACCTATACGTGACATTTCATGCGTAAAACTCCTTTTACCTCAAGTGATACTTTCAAAAATCAGTTAAAGCAATAAGTCCAGTCTATTTGAACATACGATAAACCAATAATAAATATTTAAATAACGCGTATTTACAGAAAATTCTAAAACTTTTCATCGATGGTTTTTCAGTTTTTCCAAAAGGTCAGCGATACATATCCATAACTTAATTGAGATAAAAATTGTAATTTCTTCAATTGTCTGCAGAAAACATTCAAAGACTTTATTCCGGAGAGCCTCCTTTTTAGATAAAACGATTAAAAAAATTTTTTTTTTTTGTCATAATATGCCCAGCTTTTCATATCATATTTGAGGGAGTGCACATATCGCTTTCTTCTAATATTATTTCCCGCGTAAGCTCTTTTCTCTAATCCGTTGTAATTTGAAACTATGGATTAATTTTAAGTGTAATGGTTCAATTAAGTTTGAAATAAAATATATTTGCGGCATAAATTAAAAAAGGCAAAGTAAATGAATCCCTCTTGCATCGTGCATGTGATTCATAATTTTCAATAACTTCTGTTTTCTGTTTTCCTCATTACCCTTCTTCATCCTGGGTGCAAATAAATTAACTTAATATTGATACATCACTTGACTCGGATTCACCTTGATATTAAAATAATAAAAGAGTTAATTTTTTTTAAAAAATCAATTCCAACTTTTTTTGCAGAAACTCCATTTGTAAATAAAACCTAGTTAACTTGTGGTAGAGTTGCGTTACTATTTTTATAAACATCTCTCATGTACTCGTATATGCGTAGTATAACTATTTAAACTCTTTCATAATTTTATATTATTATTATATAACTTATACGGTCGTATTTAGAAAAAAAGAATCAAATTTGACTCAGTTTATATTATTTTAGGTGTTGGATCGATATGGAATTTATTTAGATTTTTCTTATTTTACAATTTTTCTGCTGTGTACCTATTTATTAATTTAACTTCATTCCATTTTTATTTTTATTTGATTATATCTGGTATTTTCATTATTGTCGTTTATAGGTTTTCTACTATTAATGTTGTAATATGTTAACATTAACCTCGCCTTAAGTATATCTTTTGTATGGGTCCAAAGAAGATAAATAATTATTTTATATACCAATATTACAAACCATACAAAATATATGTAAGAACAGTGTATGGAAATATTTTCAGCTATATAATTAATAAACAAATATGTTGAAAAATATATATTAATTTACTTTAGGCATTGCAATGCTAGTTGTTAAAATAACATACAATGTTATCATTAGGCTTCTTTTATTACAGTTTATAAATTAATTATACGTAGATATTATATGAGAAAAATTATTTCAAAATTAGCACTCAAACAAAATTTTGTGAATAATTCTTTTAAAAATACACACATGTTTGAAAAATGATCGTATAACACTAAGCTGCTGTAACCAGAATATGTTGATTTCTAGGCTTCAATCTATTAGAAAAATCATCAGTACCTTCGTCTTAAATTTGTATAGTCACATTATATACAGAAAGATTTCTGTTTTTTTTTAATGAATCTAACACAGACCCCGGTACGCAGACTAACACTGAGATCAGAACGCACACACCCAAGCACGCAAGTATCAATATAAATCAAGGATTTTTATGTTGTAAGGACAAATTATGAACTCTTATGTAGGAAAAACAATTTCAAGATATATAATTTAAATATTTTTATTAAATTCATTGAAGTTATCAACTTTAAAATCAGTTGGTATGATGTCATCTTTTTCAAATATTTCCTTTATTAGAGACAGAAATAAAATCAGAAACATTATTATGCGCTTACATTAAAAACGTTCCAATTGAATTAACCTTCCTCAGGTTATAGCTTATTTTTATACCTTTTCCTTTGTGTTATAATTTCCATTTTAAACGAACTGAATAAACTAATCTTAAAATGCTTCTAGCTACAGGCATTCGAATAAAGAACAGATTTCAACATTAAAAATATTTACTTTAGTTTGTTATAACAACTTTATAAGTAGAAGTGTCTAGTTGATGGGGATCGGGATAGACTATTCTTGCTACTGCCAGTTCATTACACGCCTTTTCGATTTTATACGTGAGAGAACTAATGAGAAAAAAAATCTAAGAACATTCATAATAACTTTTTTTGTTTAGGTTCAACAGAAACAATTAACTCGAATTTATAAAAACATGATGTCCTGTAAACTTTTGCAACCGAGCGTATAGATTTGCCTTATTTCATTTAAATAATTATAGTATTTTAATGGTATTTTAAGGTTATTTAATTATGTCTCCTCTCTCACCTTTTCAAATTAAACAAAATAATCGTCAAACTAAACGACTACTAACAAGTTTAAAGTTTTAATACCAAAATTACGGCGATATGATTACATACGAAAGTTTATAAATTTGAAATTTAAATTCTCTGTGTTATGTCTAACATAGCAAACTCGTATCAGAATTTCTGATCTAAAACCGTCCTCGTAGTATATAAATCATGTAAGATTAATGCCATCGTTATTTTCGGCCGTGATTTGTTTGTTAGCATTAAAAAACACCTTTCGGAGCTCTTTGTAGCTTCAAAAAGCGGGTTTGCTTACGCCTTTACAATATAAAATAATATGTTTAATATTATATAATGACCACTATTAAGAGGTGGGGATCTCTAACATCCACTTGAAATTGATGAAAAAAGTACTAAATAACAAATTATTATGTTCTTATTTACTAGAGCACAGTTTAAAATAGAATAAAATTCCACGTCACTAATCATTGCTTAACATTCTCAGTTAATTTAAACAAAAATTCTATTAATGCAAGATTTCTAAGAGGATACGGTAACAATAAGCATTTCGTTAGCCGAAACAAACTATAGTATCATTTGCATTAAATACACGTAATTCTTAAAAAAAATTGAGTTGCAACACAATGGTATTA